CCGACAACCTCAGGCTAGGAAAGCTGTAGGTTTTCCTCATTCATTCCTTTTTGATTTTCCTACTTTTAACTGGCAAACCGTGGCTTTTTGTTGTGCTCTCTCTTTTCTGGCTACAACCTTCAGTTCCAAATTGAGTCCACATCTTTTAGCAGCAAGTGGCAAATCTGCTAGTTCTTGCTCTTAGCCCATGCTGCTGATGGGCAGTTCTCTCCCATTGATTGGTGGTAGTAGTGTGGAGGTTGGAGCAGTCCCAGGTAGGAAGGCATGGACTCTTGCCGTTCTTACCTGAAGCTGTGGCTGATTTTTTTTGTTTTTTTAAAGAATAGTTGTTTGCCTTTGGGCAATATCTAGTACTCCTGAATAATTGTTTTTGTCTAGTTTAATACATATTTTTTAAAGAGAGAATTTGTCACCCTCTTCATAACACTGTTAGTCAGAAGTTACTACTGGTCATTTTTTACTAAAGAGGATTAATTGCTTTTTAGGTGATGGAGGAATATGTGGTGTTCTTCTTTAGTCCATTCACTCTACCAGCATGGACTTTTAAAGGCATTTTGTTATGGAAATAATTCTTCAATATTACTGCTGAATAGGCCTGCCTAATCTAGTCTCCTTACTTGACAAATGAAGGAACTGAGCCCTGGAGAGATTGTGTGACAAGCAAGTTAGTGACAGAACTGAGGATATTAGGAACTCTTAGAACCTGGGTCTCTTGGATTATATTATCTTTTCTCTTACACCAGTGGCTCTTCAAAATTTGTTTTTAAACAGTTGAAACGTTCCTATCCCTTTTCTCCCAAAGCCAGGTCTCTTATGGGAACCAGTTCATAAAAGAGATAAAAAATGACCACACCCTTGTTGAGGCAGATGGTTGGTCTCCTTTTCCCTCTGAGGGTGCTCAGCCTCTGGGAAACTGAAGACATTTGTACTGCTAGGAATTGGTCTTTCTCAGTCCTTGCCTATAAAGTGAAGGGCGTAAGGGAAAGAAGGGGAGTAGATACTTAAGTTCCTTTTCATATCTGAAGCTATTTGATTATGTGGCCAGAATCAAGCTATTGTGTCCTTAGAGCAGTGCCTTTCCCAGGATTCCAAGGGAACACCTAAGTTGAGTCTTGGAAGATGGATGGGATTTGGAGGGTACCATTGGGTTTAGACTGGGAGTTGAGTTACCCCTTCATATCAGGTAATCAATCCAGGTAAATGGACTTTTGAGAAAACTTCCACACTGGGGATGAACGTAGATACTAAAGTGTATGTTGGGAAGGAGAGTGGGGGTGCATAGAATCATACAGATAAAGCTTTTGAGAAAAACAGTTAAAGCATAAGAAACTAATTAGATTTGCCCCCTGGTCTTTTTTTTTTTTTTTTTTTTTGTAAGCAATGTATGTTAAGTTTGTGTATATTTCTTTATTTCTAAGGTTCAAACGGTTTCCCTGATCCTGATTTAGTATTGAAGTTTGGTCCTGTGGACAGCACATTAGGCTTTCTTCCCTGGCACATCAGATTGACTGAGATTATGTAAGTAATTAAAAGTGCTTTGACTTTGTTTAAATTTAGCAAATGTTTCCTGAGCCTAGCACTGTATTAGATCTAGTGGGAATTCTCAAAGAATTATTATACCAGATTCGTTACCTCAGATATTTTACAATATCAATGGTAAAATAAAGACATAAATTAGACACAAGAGACTGTATCGTTGTGCACATGTTTGGTTTATTATCTTAGGAGATGATGAGTGAGAAAGTATCTCTGTGGGGCAGAGTTGTGGATTCAACAGAAAGGTATGACTTGATCTGGGGTATATAAAATGGGTAGAATTTTTGTATTTAGAGAAAAGGTAGGAAGTGTAGGGGGTGGGAAGGGAAAAAAAAGAAAACCGGGGTGCGTTCTAAAGAAATAGAAAATTAGCCACAACAGAGAGTCAGTGTTAGGCAGTAGAATGAGATGAAATCAAATAGTTTCAGGATGTTGAAGCTTGGAAGTCTTGAAATGCCAGCATAAGGAACGTGTATAATGGTAGACAGGCAGTAGTAAACTGTTGAGCCTGTAGATAATGTGGGAATGGTGATTTTGGAAGATTTGTTTGGTAGTTATGTATTAGATTGGGTTCGGGAAAGGATGAAGTAAAAAGTCAAGTGAAGAGGCTGTAGCTATAAGTTGGTGAAATACAGTGAAGAAAATGAAATTGTTTATTTAGAACAGGACGTGGCAAACTTTTTCTGCAAAGGGCCAGATAGTAAATATTTTAGGCATTGCAGGCCATACAGTCTCTCTCTACTTCTCTCTATTGCAACTACTCAACTCTGCTAGTGTAGGTAAACAACTGTAGACAATATGTAAGCAAATGGTGTGACTGTTCTGATAACACCTTGTTTATAAAAACAGTTGTCGGGTTCATGAGCTATATTTGCTGACCCCTGATTTAGAATAAAGGAGAGACTTAGTAGCCTTTAAAGTATATTTAAATTTTGGGTCGTAGAAGGAAAATATTACAAATTCTATCTGTCATGAGAAGTAGTTACCGGGTATGATTGCAGGCCTAGACTTTACTAATTGTGGTAAAGTCAGAGAAGGACTGAAATGACTCCTAAGTTTTTAAATCTAAGTGACTGGGTGATTATGGTGTTACTGAGAGGAAACCAGAAAGTGAAGGGAGTATTGATTTTTGAAGGGAAGATGTAGGTGATTTTGAGACCATAGACTATTTAGATGCAAACACTAGTAGGACAGATGTACAGTTGATGCTTGGGTGAGAAGTCAAGGCTAAAGATGTATATTTGGGGATCATCAGTACCCAGGAATTAGTTAAACCTTTAAGAATTGAGGATCTCTAAAGTTTATGAAGGGATCCTTTCAGAAATGTTTCTAAAGGCACTCCCTGAATCCATTTTCTTCCCCATTTTCTTCATCTGCAAGATGAGAAACATTAACAACTATTTTATATAATTATTTATATGAAGCTTTAAAAGGATCTACCATATACTTAGTAATCACCAGTCACTTAAAGTATGGCTATCATAATAATTATTACTGTTGATATGTGCTTAATAAGAAATCCATTCT